GCTGACCCCTCTCCGTCACTTTACGTGGCCTACCACTTCGTGGCTGAGTTGCTGTTGTTCCCAAACGCTTCCATTTTGTTATAATAGAGCTGACAGTTGACTGTGGAATATTTAGGAGCGAGGAAATTTCACGACTGGATTTGTTGCACAGGTGGCATCCTATGACAGTTCCACGCTGGAATTCACTGAGCTCCTGAGAGCGGCCCATTCTTTCACAAATGTCTTGTTTCACAGTCTGCATGCCTGAGTGCTTGATTTTATACACCTGTGGCCAGGCCAAGGGATTAGGACACCTGATTCTGATCATTTGAATGGGTGAGCGAATACTTTTGGTAATATAGTGTATGTATGTATTATAAGGACGAGTCAGTATATTTGGAAACACATGTTGATTAAAAAAAAAAATCCTGCTGTTGAGCTTCAGTCATTTTCAAATTATTTTTTTAATTTTGTAAAATGTTCTTGAAATTTAAAAAAATTAAATTAAATTTTTAAAAAAATGTAAATTGTTTAATTTCGAATTTTTAAATTTATAATTTTTGAATTTTTATGTTTAATTTTTTTTTTCATTTTTTCAGGTTTTAAATATCTTTTTCTATAAAAAAAAACCTCAAAATGCCCTAATTTGATGAGAAACATGAAGCAAAAATACATTTTTTAAAAAGATTTTCACAAATTCATCAAAAATGTTTCACCATCTCACCACAACACGCAAAATCTGGACTTTGGAATTTGGAATTCCCCAAAGAATATATTTTTTTTAGAAATGCTCTTATTTAATGAGAAACTTGCAGAAAATATAACATTTTGTATTTTTTAATTTTCACCATTTGATGACTTAAACTTTGATGACAAAATTAAGATTTTATAGATAAATTCCCCCAATTTTCAAAATATATTTTATATATATTAAAATTCTTTGAAAACGCTATATTTTGATGACAAACATGCAAAAGAGAAAAAGAAGAAAAGAAAAATTGGAATTTTTCGCCAATCCCTAATTTTTGCTGTTGAAAATATTTTTAGTATAAAAATATTTTCAAATGTTTTCTTTTAGAAAAACATTTTTGGGAAAGAAAATTTAGAAAAAAAATGTTTTGGGCAATTGGCAAGACACCCAATAAAGGAGTGGTTCTGCAGGTGGTGACCACAGACCACTTCTCAGTTCCGATGCTTTCTGGCTGATGTTTTGGTCACTTTTGAATGCTGGCGGTGCTTTCACTCTCGTGGTAGCATGAGACAGAGTCTACAACCCACACAAGTGGCTCAGATATTGCAGCTCATCCAGGATGGGACATCAATGCGAGCTGTGCCAGAAGGTTTGCTGTGTCTGTCAGCGTAGTGTCCAGAGCATGGAGGCACTACCAGGAGACAGGCCAGTACATCAGGAGACGTGGAGGAGGCCATGGGAGGGCAACAACCCAGCAGCAGGACCGCTACCTCCTTCTTTGTGCAAGGAGGAACAGGAGGAGTACTGCCAGAGCCCTGCAAAATTAGCTCCAGCAGGCCACAAATGTGCATATCTGCTCAAACAGTCAGAAACAGACTCCATGAGGGTGGTATGAGGGCCCGACGTCCACAGGTGGGGGCAGTAATGGTGTGGGGTGGCATTTTTTTGGAGGGACGCACAGCGGCAAATTCACCACTGGTGCCCTGTGCTCTTCACAGATGAAAGCAGGTTCACACTGAGCACATGTGACAGACGTGACAGATTCTGGGGGCGCCATGGAGAACGTTCTGCTGCCTGCAACATCCTCCAGCATGACCGGTTTGGCAGTGGGTCAGTAATGGTGTTGGGTGGCATTTCTTTGGAGGGCCGCACAGCCAGAGGTAGCCTGACTGCCATTAGGTACCGAGATGAGATCCTCAGACCCCTTGTGAGACCATATGCTGGTGCGGTTGGCCCTGGGTTCCTCCTAATGCAAGATGATGCTAGACCTCATGTGGCTAGAGTGTGTCAAGTTGCACCACAGACTGTCCAGGAGTTGGCGGATGCTTTAGTCCAGGTCTGGGAGGAGATCCCACAGGAGAACATCCGCCGCCTCATCAGCATGCCCAGGCGTTGTAGGGAGGTCATACAGGCATGCGGAGGCCACACACACTACTGAGCCTCATTTTGACTTGTTTAAAGGACATTACATCAAAGTTGGATCAGCCTGTAGTGTTTTTCCACTTTAATTTTGAGTATAACTCCAAATCCAAACCTCCATGGGTTGATACATTTGATCTACAGATCTACAACGTGTTACTTTAGTGTTCCCTTTAGGGTCTGTGTATATATACATATACACATATATATGTATGTATAAGATCTTTAGTCATAACGTAAAGAGTAAAGTTCATGCACAAAACAATTATGTTAGTTGTTTAAATTGCTGGTGGTTTAGAGAATGAAGATGCAGTAGCCTCTACTCAAGGGGCTTCGGCCCATTCTTTGCCTGAAAAAATACCATTTTCAAGATATGACCCAGGATGTTTCAGAGCCCTGTTGTTTAAAAAAAAAAAGAAACCAGACATGCAAAAAAATCTCAGAATTCACCTCAGGCAAATGTCCACACCACAGAGGAAGAATGGAAAGAAGCATTAGCACCACAAGAGTCAGACGCTGCTCTTTTTATTTCTACTGTTTGTTTAACGTAAACATTTAATGGCAGCAGAAGAACAGCAAAAAATGTCTGGCCTTTCTTTTCAATTGAATATTCAATTGATAGTTGGGAACTAAACACTACAGTGGAGCATAGAGAAATGTGGAGTAATAGTCAGCAGGACTCCGCTGACGTTATTTCAAATGTAGGCACTCGTGGCTCTCGAACAGTGCACAGCAACGTGTTTTTTTTTCTTTAGTTAAAACAAATAGATTTGACAGACTTCCACAGAAACGTTACCTGTTCCATGGCTTGCATGGTTACATATTGTGTCATGGTTGACACTGAGCAACTCATGGTCTCAAAACCTTCAGATCTCTATCTACAGCATCTGATAACCATGTTTGGTTATTATGATAACATTTACCAATCTCAAGGCCTGTAGATTAGTGTTTTGTCTCTAAATGGCAACTTAAATTTCTAATACATGATCACAATTGGGAACAATGGCAGATATTTTTCTGTTAATGATGCATCAACAACATAGTTTTGAAAAGTCCACAGTCTTTGGTGCCTGATGTTATAGAAAACTGAACAGAATCACAAAAGTAGAATCCACACTTGTTTGGCACTAGGGTTGTCACTTCCTCCTAAAAACAAAAGGTCTAATGAATTAGATGCAGCATGTTGACCACCAGGAGAAATTAAAACATCTGTCATATCCCTTGTACTATTTTTAGCAGTGTCCTATTTGTGTCTTTTAGCATTTCTGGTATTTGTGTATGCTTAGACAGAAGTGTACACTAAAAAAAGGCCTGGTAAAAAGGCTTTAAATTTTAGGTTGTGTTTCAGCCGTTCTTACTTTCAGCACAGGAGCAACTGTCTGGTTAAGCAGTGTGCTTTACTGAATGCACTGAATGCTGGTGGTAGCACCAACTCTTTTTTTGAAAAACTTGTTTTAAGTCATGTTGCGGTCGATAGTTCACTACTGTTCAAAGTAGTAAGTAAGCAAACCAGTATGCAAGAATGGAAACAACTTGTTCTATTTGTCTGACCAAGAGCACTTATTAGCTTTCTTGCTAAATAAAAGAGACAACAAAAATCAATGCCTTTATTGATTGTAACTGAGGGATACTGTTACTAAGCTGCACTAAGGGTGCTCTGCTGAATGAACCCAGACTAAACTACTTTAGACCTCCTGAGAATTCTTAAAAACTTTTAAAACTCAAAATTAGCCCTAATTCTTCTTATTATTCACAAATGACAAAAAGTGACAGCCCTATTTGGCATTATTTTCAATTGCATTGAAATATGAATGTGAACAATAGACATGGTTTTAAACAAAGGACTGTTTGTATTTCAGAACAGAACAAACAATACACACCTATCATGTAAAGTATGGCTATACACAGATCCTTCACACTCCCAAGACTAATTTGTGTGTTTCAGCCTCTTATTCTTGCCTCTGACTCTGTTTGACCACTGCCCCTGAGATGGACCAACTGTCTTCACACCTAATGTGAACTAATATTTTCATTAGAACTGCACAGTAATTAGGGTATCTCTTTGCTTGGATATACATTATAAGTTACATTGTTATGGTGCGGATGGAGCGGACATTTAAACCCTCTTTTTTTGGAGTGACTTTAGTGATCCCCAGAAAGCCTGAGGAGCATGTTTCAAGAGAGCAGAGAGACAGAGATGTAATCGGTCTGCAGAGCTGAGGGCAACAGCCTGGAGGCACAAGGTGACTCATAAAGAGACACTTGTTTCACTGCAGCCTGTGACGGGGCCCTTCCCTGTAAGGGACAGATCGCCAACTGATCACTTCAAATGTTTTTTTCTTTTCTTTTCTTTTTTTGTTAGATGGGAATGTTGAAGGGAGTGAGCACAAATCTGCAGTGATTAGTGGAGATCTGCTTCAGCTGAATTTTGACTAGACCAGCCAGCCCCAGGTCTGCCCTCTTCTGTTGTAATTAGTCATAATCCTAAGAAGGCAGAGGCCTGACAGAAACTCAGTTGTTGTCAAAAGAGTCCCAGTGGTAAAAAGTCTACCAAATGCAGTGCATCCTGTGAGTTGGAAACTGCTTTGTTTTATTGCAGTATGAAGCCAGGTTGTGGGGCAATGCGTGGTGGGGGCCTCTGTGGAACAGAAGGGGGATACTGTGGCATGCAATGGCTGGGATAACCAGAGGAGACACCAGGGAAGGGCTGGCCTGTTCTGGGTGGAATGGGTGGATAAGGTGATACTGTATAGAAGACAGATGGCTGAGGGGCAGTGGTGGAGGATGGGTCTGAATTTAGAATCGGGGCTGGCTGGGATGGAGGAGGTTGTGGTTTTCTTCTGGGCTGGGGAACAGGAGAGGAACCGTTGCTAGAGTTGTCCAGGAGGGAGGCTGATGCGGACACGTCTTGCGATCGGGAAGTGGGGACAGACACCTGGGGCAGTGTCTGGACCTTCAGCACCATCTCCTGAAGTTTTTCAATTTTCACTCTTCTCAAGTGAGCCAGTTTTCTTTGACTCTGATAGGTGTCGATGAAGGCGTCCAGTGTCATGTCCCCATCCAGGAATGAATCAGCTATATTCTGTTGACCGATAAAAGAGTGAGAACTTTCAGATGTAAATACCATCCAAGGAAATTAAGATGAACACAAGCACTGAATCTCATTAACCTCAGAGGGGTTTTAAGTATAATAACTGTTTCCAAACTGATTTATGTAACCAAAAGTTCCCATAGTGATTTCAATTTACGTGTTTGGGCAGGACTTTTTATTCTTCAAAGTCTTCAAATAAATAAATAATTAAAAACTGTATGAATAACAAATAATTCACTTCGAACAGGTGTCTTCAGTTCAAGGCTCCAGTCCTACACCTTTCCCACTTTTAAAAAGGTCAATATTGATGGTGGTCCCCTTATGTCATATACTATAATATGCGTTTATTGTCTTTCTGTCTATAATCTATAATGATTTGGTCCATTTTTATTATATTAAACTTTGGGATATTGTAGCTCTAGATGTTTGTGGTGTGTACATACCTGTTGCCCTGATGGATGTTGAGACAAAAATGGAACATGTGATGAGTAATCTTTTTCTTTTCATAAAATCACTTTAAAATAACAAAAATTTTACTAAACTGCTGTTTAAACAACAACTTCTCAATAACGCATCAATGTATTATTGAGTGTTATTATACAGTAATGAAGGTGTCTAAGTGATTAAAAACAGCTCCACATCTGCAGAAACGACTTTTGAAGAGTTTAGGGGTCATAACAAGAACACTTAGTGAAGTTCAGTGCAGTCAATAAAACTCAATGGCATTCAATGCAATGTTGTAAGATTTAGCTAAATTAAGAGCTAAGATTTCAGTTATGCTCACTATTCTTCTCCTCATCATCTCTGTCAAAGCATGTAATTCATAATTAAAAACAAAAAAATTAAATTCACAATTTATACTTGATACTCTTGATAGATTTATAGTGTGGTTTGCTGAGTGGACAGGTAGCCTCTACAGCCATCTGTCTCCTGTTGCTCACAGGCTTCAAAGAAAGACTAATATAAACTCTGAAGTAGTGAAATATCAAGGCCATACAGAATACATAGTTTCCATACAGCTGGTTTTACTGATGGGACGTGATGTCATCCATGGAGAGAGAGCAGGAGAAAGCTTACCTCTGTCTCCTCCTCTATCTTAGCTCCTTCAGTCTGCAGCAGGGCCAGTAGTGTGTCCAGAGAAGTATTTCCTGACTTGTGGTCTGTTCAAAGAGACAACAATTTGAACATATTTCATGCCCTTTAATATATACATTTATGTATGTATTATGTATGTAACTGCAGTCCACAGTGTTGGAGGTGAGTTCAAGTCAACAAAGTACAGTTCTATTTCAATACAAACTTACTGTATTTGCCCAGTGTCCACAACAAGCTTATTTAGTTAGGGCTAAAAGAGCCCTTCCCTGTATCTGAGTTGTAACCAATAGCATGTAACCAATAACAACGTTTATCAAGCATGTCAAAGAAGCCTGTAGGAAATCTTACAGTTAGTCAAACTGCCGTAACAGCTCTGTTTGCTGTGAACTTGTGAACAAAGTCCAACTCAGTGAAGTGAAACCAACTTCTTTTGCTCTTTCGTGTTTCGAAAGAGCAAAAGGGGTTGGTTTCGCTTCACTGAGTTCAAAGGCTGTTTTGTTCAAGTTCATAAGTAGAAGTAAAATCACAGGAAAAAAGACTTGGTGTCACAGACAAAAAAGGTCATGACCTGCCAGCCATCTCCACCACAATCCACACCACATAACAGAACAACTCAGGTTACACATTATCATGATTTTATTTTGACGACTCTGCTGTACACACCAACCCAGTCTACACAATCCAAACAAGACAACTAAACAGTTGACCTGAGTTTATCATGGGTCAACAATGTCAGAAATTAAGGTTAGCAGGGAATGTCCTAATAGTTTACAAATTACAGTAGAGCAGTATAGATAAGGTCTAAACTATAGAATATTCTGGCCTTATATGAATTTGGCCAACTTTTACACTGACATAATTTAAGGATACATTTTTCCTTAAATCCCAACATCATATTTATTACCTACTAATTCTGAATATTTTATCTTTTGACTTTTAAGAGATTTTTGCTAATAATATATAATTGAAGGCTGCCCAATAATAAATTAGAGGAGTGATGGTAGAGCATGAAAAAATAAAACAAAAACAATTCTAATACAATCATAATTCTATAGTGTGTAGTAGTGAGCATATACTGTAAGAACTTAATCATATGGTGCCATACAGCTACAGTGGTATGAAAAAGTTTGGGCACCCCTGATCATTTTCAAGATTTTCCTTTATGTATCATTGGTTGTTCGGAACAGCAATTTCAATTAAATATATCATATAGCAAACAAACACAGTGATATTTAAGAAGTGAAATGAAGTTTATAGGATTTACAGAAAGTGTGCAATAATTACTTATACAAAAGTAGGCAGGTGCATACATTTGGGCACCCTTGTTGTTTTATTGATTTGAATACCTTTAGCACTAATTATTGGAACACAACATTTGTTTGGTAAGCTCATTGACCCTTGACTTACATACACAGATGAAGTCAATCATGAGAAAGGGTATTTAAGGTGGACAGTTGCAAGTTGTTCTTCCCTTTGCATCTTCTCTGAAGGCTGGCAACATGGGAGCCTCAAAACAACTGTCAAATGACCTGAAAACAAAGATTGTTCAACATCATGGTTTAGGGGAAGGATACAAAAAGCTAGCTCAGGGATTTCAGCTGTCAGTTTCCACTGTGAGGAACATAGTGAGGAAATGGAAGACCACAGGCACAGTTCTAGTTAAGGCCC